TCCCTACACCAAAAGAAAGATTTTGTTCAGACTTAACAAGTTCAGTCATGCCAGTACACTTCAGTGAGAAGAACAAAACAGAGGGTAAGAGCCACAAGAAAATTAGTACCTGGCTATATATGTTAAGACCTTCATGCTGCCAAATAGATTTTCTAACTACAACAGAAAAATTAGCCAAGTCGGAATTGTTGAATTTACCTTGCTTCACAAGATGTATTTCTCCTTCTCGTGTTTTCTCCCAGAGACCATAGCAAGTGCTGCCTTTCATACACAGAACTGTACCGTTCTCTTGAGAAATTCGACTTTCACTAATTCCATGATCGTTTTGATACGGATCCCTAAAAGCGCATGTTGTCTCTTCACTCTGGGCAGCTAAACAAGAGAGAGAAAAAGTTCAAATTCAAGATTACAACGGTTTAAAAATAGACATAATTACTAAGTTGTAATAGAGAACTTGGGCTTTCTGAATTTCTCATCTTTCAAAGTGATATCCGACCGCCCATTCAAGACTCCTGCCTGGAGTGAGTGCAGTCTGTTTAAGCGCACTTTCCTCTGCAATTTCTGCTCCAGTTTTTTTAAAAAAACAATTTGCTGTCCACGGAATAGTTCCACTTCCCATCATCATGCCAATTCCTCTGCTGTTCCTCTGGCAGCTCCCATCAGCCGCCAATGTGTTAAATGGGGCAGCGCCCAAAGAGGTGTCACTGGACCCTGAGTCCAGGAAGGCCACTCACCACCTCTGTGTTCCTGTTGAGAGAATGGGAGGTGCCACTGTGTGTGTGTGGGTGGGTGGGTGACGGGGGATAGAAACCAGTGCTCATATCTCCTGTTGAGCCGCACCTCTCTCTCCACTGCTGTTCTGACAGCTCCAAAACACCAGGTATGATTCTTAATTGCTGTATTCCGCTTTAAGTTCGCAGAAGAGAAATTTGGGATTTTAACCCCACAGTGGAGTGGGCAATATTGAATAGCTGCCCTGTGCTTGTTGCTGCAAGTGGACAGAAGGAGCTACCTAAAATCCTTAAAAGTTCTGAATGCATCCCAAGATTTATACATTGCCCACTGGAACCAGAATTTACCACGTCCCATTTTCAGAACCATTAACATTCAAGTGACACTGAGTTATGTTAATGAGAAAAAGAACTTGAGGACTTCAGCACGACCACAAGCCTGGTGCTTTTTACGATATTCACAACGAAGATGCTTTAAAAATTCAGTAAGCGAGACCGGATGAACCGGAATACATGCAGTCCCAGACCACATTATCTGTAAATCTTAGATCATCATAATTAGTCTTCCCAGAGAGCATACATCTCCCCTGAGCTATAATATTAAAAGATCAAAATACCTTAAGATCCCACGAATTCAAAGGAATTTCAGTACATTTTTTCTTTTTGATATATACTAGAAATTGGGGCATAGCCTACAAAAGCACCCCTTCATTATGATTTCAGCGGGGGAGGGGGGAATCCCTTTAGAAGAAGGTAACTACTGAAAGTGCGTGGTCTTTAAATTGAAACTATCAGAACAAGACCTCTGTTCGGAGCATTTCCAGAGTTTTAAAAGATATGAATACTGAGTACTGCCATAAGGAATACTGTTTTATTTCAGTGCTCAGTAAAGTATATCAAAACAGAAAACAGACAACTTATTGTCCTATTAAACGGTCAAAGGAGAAATGTAGAAATACTGAATTATGTTTTGCCCTATATCCAAATTTTGCACTACTTTCTAGCATCAAACAGACAATGGGAAGGCTATGAATAAACACTAACATTCCAGGATGCTTAACGTTTCCGGTATCTACTATTACTATTTGTCTGTTGTGTTTCTCAATCATCCTCTTTCAACAACTTCAAACTGCTCCTTGACATTTATTAACCCAGAGTAAATACACCAGACTGAGGTCTGAAGGGGACATACCACTCTGCCAGCATTAGCAAAGCAACCTGCCATTTCTTACATTCCTCTGCTCTATTTCCTCCTTTACATCTAACAGTCAGCGACCTCATTTCTTAAAGCTTACCTGTTTTGCTCCTGAAAACTAGGTCACTCCATCATTCTGATCTTGCTCTATTATCCATTTAATCTCTGAACCTACAATATCCCAACTACCCCAAAAATTCAAGCATTAGCCAAGTTACTCGACCAAGTTAAAAATTTATCTTCTGTACAGACAGTGATTTCTATAGAGCCTTCTTTCTTCCTGCTAGAGACACGGGGCCTGATCCTGCTTCGGAAGTGATACCCTATCAAACATACTGAAATGATAGCCTTGCTTAAAGGGGGGAGAGAATTACTGGCTTAATAACCTGAACGACCATGTGGGTTGGGGACAGAAACAACCAGTTTGGTTATTTAGAATAGCAGTTACCAACATTTTCGTTATGGTGACCCACAAGTCCAAATTTACTTGGTATGGTGACTCATCATAAGAACATAAGAAAAGCCCTGCTGGATCAGACCATTGGTCCATCTAGTCCAGCATCCTGTCTCACACAGTGGTCAACCAGTTCCTTTGGATGGCCAGCAAGAGGGCATAGAGACCGAGGCCTTCCTAAGAACATAATAACAGCCCTGCTGGATCAGGCCTGTGGTCTCACACAGTGGTCAACCAGTTCCTCTGGATGGCCAGCAACAGGGCATAGAGTCCAAGGCCTTCATAAGAACATGAGAAGAGCCTTGCTGGATCAGACCAGTGGTTCATCTAGTCCAGCATCCTGTCTCACACAGTGGTCAACCAGTTCCTCTGGGTGGCTAGCAACAGGGCACAGAGGCTGAGGCCTTCATAAGAACATGAAAAGAGCCCTGCTGAATCAGACCAGTGGTCCATCTAGTCCAGCATCCTCCTGTCTCACACAGTGGTCAACCAGTTCCTCTGGACGGCCAACAATGGCACAGAGGCTGAGGCCTTCCCCTGATGTTGCCAAGGATGTCCCCCATGCAATCCAATGTTGACCCAAGGATTTTTGGCACTCTAGGCAATCTATGATTTTGGCACCTATCTAGTTCAGCATTCCAGATGTTTCTGAGAAACCAACAAACATCGCACAAAGGGCGCAGCTGCCCCCACAATGAACCCCAAGCAAGTGACATTCCAACATATCCAGCCTTTGTGTTTGGAGGTCACATTCCAGCCTTTGACCACTCACTACTTCTCCACCACACCCTCTCATCCCCCCTGAGAAACTCACTCTAGTAACCATCAGGACACGTTTTCCTTGATCAACATATATATGCAGTGGAAAACCGCCCCCAAATAATGTATGACAAAGAAGATACTGTTTCCAGGGTCAGATCTTGGTCCTCAAAAGACATGAGTATGTTTATTAGTTGTTATTGTAAAAATGTTTGGTCTAAATTATCTTGTAATTATATGTAATGTGTTTTATAGTAGCTGTTTGTACGTTTGGCTTAAGACCTCTGGTCAATGAAGCTAATAAATGAAAGGAACGTTCTTAAAAGACAAAAGAGAGCAATGGAAAAGGCAAGGGTGGCCATGAAGGAGGGCTGGTCCCACAACCCACTTTCAGAGACGACTTTTGGGTTCCAACCCACAGGTTGGGGAACACTGATTTAAAAGAAAGGGATATGCTCCTTAGTGCTTGAGAGAGGCAGCACACGCTGTTCAAAAGGCAAAACCTCTCTCTCTTTTTTTAAGGCAGGCCGATGTTATTAAACTGGTAGAATATGGCTGTGATGGGATAGGGAGATTCCCTCTCCTAAATGGCTTTATGAGCACCGTTTATGAACACTGATATGGACAAGCATTACTACTTGACATACTTAAAGAGAAAAAAAGATATACTAAAGTAGCACTTTAAAAATTGCTGCAAGCCAGAGAGTAGGGGACAGCATTACTCCTCGGGGGCAAAGCAAACCAGCAAATGCCCACTGCTGTCAGACTAAGCATTATGCGCCGTTGTTGCAGCATCACTGGCCACAAATGGGGCTTTCCCAACATACCGCACGCTACAAGCAACTGCAAAACCATTCTGCCCGGAGATTGCGGCAGGGCAATAGATGCTCTCCAAGGCAAGTCTCTCAAAAGCCATGATCTCTCCCACAGGACTACCGAGCTGACAGGCTTGAGAAGTCACCTATTGTTTGTGACGTCCTGTTCAGTTCAATGATACAACAATCTTTGCTACGTTTCTCAAGCAGTACATTCACTGCAGAGAATGCCCTGCCCAGGATATGCGTTCTGTAAGAACAATGGTAATATTTGATAGCACCAGAGCTAAATAATCTGCCATCTCTTCATGCCACATAATCCCCACAATTACTTTTCAAAAGATTAAATAATTCTGCAAAAGCTCTTCCGTCTTTGCTGTGATTTATGTTTAAAGACTAGGGAGAAATTTTCTCGGCTTATTAACGTTACCTACTTTCCCCCTTTTTCTCAGGCATCCCCAAGGACAAAAGGAATCATCTACCAGCGTGTGTTTGACTGAACAATAATTGCGTGTTGCATGCACATAATTTTATTCCCGGGAACAGATGCTTTGCGCCTGGAACGCTCAGCTGTCCTGAATTTTCTGATCCTTGGCACGGGACTGCCAAAGAAACAAAGAGAGGATGCTGTTTCTATCTTGAGAAACAAAGAACTATTCAGTTCCGAATCAAAATGCAAGGACTGCTGCTGTAACTTTCGGGGGAGAAAAAGAATTATACATTGCCTGAAATGCAAATTATTTGTTCCTTGTGAACTCCTGATTATTCTAAAACGGTACACAAAAAGAGTGACACAGTCAGAATAAGTATGCCTGATCATAGTTTTGCTTGTATTCTTAACCTGCTTGTTATTTATGGGGCTAGTTCAGATGTTTAAAATGCTCACTCGGTGATACCTTCTGACCATCCTTGGGAGGAGAGTTGTGTGAAAAGCCTCCTGAGTGACTTGGCTCATCCACAAAACAGCTGCAGGCTCTTGGAGACAACCTGCATAGTAGCAGCATCACAGCGGCTGCAATTACGGGAGCTGCTTCCGGGCAAATTTTGGAAGGGGAGGGGCACGGCACAACATTCTTGATCCGGGCTCGGTTTCTTTCCCTCTACGCCTAGCACTAATCACCGAGAAGGGATTCTGTCTGTCTGGATTCATTCAGTTCATACACATGATTCTGAACTTTTTATATCAAATATTTACCAGTTCCATGATGAACTTGGTTTTGTTACCACCTGCTCATTTTGCCAGTTCATCAAGATTATGCTGAATTTTATTCTCTGCAATCCAGTTTGTTTCAGCAGTTTGCCCAAGATTTATTGCGTTAAATGTAAAAAAGAAATCATTTGACTTGTAAACACAGAAGCTTTAAGCAGTATCCCTGATCCTCCATGTTTCCCAGCTAAGAGGAAAATGCTGTTCAAAC